CCCCACCACCCCCCCAAAAAAAAAAGACTGCCTAACACCCCCATACTCCGGAGGGGGCCAGCAAGACAGACAGGCAAGCATGCAGGCAGGCAGGCACGCAGCCAGCCAGACATCAAGAGAGACAGGCAGGCATGCAGGCAGCCAGCTGGCCAGCCAGACACAGATAGACAAAGGGACAGACAGGGAGAAACAGAGAGACAGACAAAGGGACAGAAGAAGAGACCACGAGCTGTTCTTTAGCTGAGCATTGTTTTTCCGTCCACCAAGGAATCCGTCATTGAGAAGGGGCCACATTTCAGAACAGAAACACGGAGAGAGAAACGAGGAATGTGCAGCCGGCACTAGGGAAGAGGGGAGGCCAGCACTAAGCAAAGGGAGCAGTGAAAAGTCAACGCGAGCTCGCAAAAAATCCGAATGAAACCAAATTAATGTGTGGAACAAAAGCATTGTGCAATGAGAGGAGAGGTCATGTGAAGCAAAAGGCACACAAGGAAACACAAGTTAAGAAAACCAATCTGGCCAGACCCACAAAAAGAAGCACAGCCACTTCAGTGTATCCTGCACAAACTCTTGCCCTGTCCCTGATTGCATTCTGTTCATATGGATTGAAAGACAGGATAGGATATGCCTCATTCGAGGACACACGCATCTCTATTTCTTTTCGTAAGCTAAGCTTAGCTAAATTACTGCTCAAAGAAAAGGGACAAACCACGACGCAAAACAACACGGCCTGCAGTGGTGATGAAAGGGACAGCAGCTGATTTGAACAGGGACAGGACAAACTATGACGCAAAAAGACAATACGGGCAGGCAGAAACCAGAGTCCATCAGGAACAAACTACGACACAAAACAATACGGGCAGGCAAAAACCAAAGTCCATCCGACATCGACTGATCAACTGACCATTAGGTGATAAATCTCACGCAATCCTTGTTCCTTGAAAAGCCACAGACTTACAGAGTTTCGCGGCAATGATAATGTTAGGATGCGGGTGCGAAGGACCCTAGATGTGCGTGCATGTCAAGGGTTCAAATCCCTTTCTGCCTACTTACTATTATAAACAATCATTTACAATAAATAATCAGGCAAAACACCTGCTGCTGGTTGTGGGTTCCGGGCATGGGCAATCTTCGTCCGCACGCTAAAAACACTGGCAACATCTTTCCATTTGCACTGACTATCAATTCCCGTCTACTTATTGATGAGCGTACAAGTGTGCAGCGGGATACCTGCCCACCTCTGGGATAGCCCCACACCTGCTAGATGGGAATCAACCCCCACAGCGCCAAGAACATTATGACGGCAACCACACATTATGCATCGTACTAAGTGGAAAAGGAGTCTTGAAGAGTAGGTAGGTCCCTTATCAGTAGTGGTCGTTTAGGACATCCTTTAAAATTGGGACGATCGCGAGAATATTAATTAGCATGGCCCTCGTGTCATAGGATGACACGTATAAATCGAGAAATGGTCCAAATTTATTGTTAAGAACAAATAAGAGATACTCGTACCAATGCAGCACCAACATGATGCGGGCAAGCACAGTAGAAATATGGTGAATGGGAGAGGAGAAACATTAACGAAGATAGTCTGCTACCAGTGAATTCTTCTTTCAATCAGCACAGTGAGAACACCAGATCATGGAGAAACTTGGCCAACTCGCTGCACCCACGTAGGTAAATCCCGGAGATCATGACACAAGAAAGGATTGACAGACACAGAGATCCACCACCCGCCAAATGTAAAAAAGACCCAAAAAAAAACAAAGACAAGGGTGTCTTTCCACATCCTCTCTCTCCATTCAATACGTTTGGAGACTTGTGTGAAGACAAGAGGCCCATAGAGGGATGCAATGCAACATCTCTTCAAGAGACGACAACTAGATAAGAAGATGTGTGTGTGTGTGTGTGTGTTGTCACGTCGTCACGTTCGCAGCACACAACTCCAAAAAGGACGCATGACTGTGCCGAAACCGTTTCGTCGGACTTTCACCGACTCCTCAGGAGGTTGATATGTGTGTGGTGTGTGTGTGTGTGTGTGTGTGTGTGTGTGTGTGAGAGAGAGAGAGAGAGAGAGAGAGAGATGTGACGCAGGCAGGGACTGGGTAAGTCGAGCAGAGTCCAATATTGAAAAAGAAGCACAAACTGCAAGAAGCAAGCAAGACAATAATGGGCCCACACTCGCCTGCAGGCGCAACTCCACGATCTGGCACCCTGTCAACCCCAGCGCTTAGCATGTCATAGTGCAGCTCGTATCGAATCCAACAAACACAGACATATATATATAGGTGCACATCCTCACCAGTTGGTTGCCCACAGCGGTTCCAACCTCGGCTCAGACTGAACCATCTGCTTGTGCCATATCATCCACTCACAACTACATCCTTCAATCTCAACTTCCAGAAGAAACGGTCCCCGTCCCGGGGTTGGGGTTCATGGCCATCCCAACATCCCTGCAGTGGCGGGGATAAGCACACCTCCACCTTAGACTTTAACATTACTTGCAAATCCAACATCTT